GTTTTTTGTAATTTTTTATAATGATTTTATTAAATATAAGTTTCATTTTTATTAATACACTATTTCAGTATTAAATATAATAATTAAATAGCGATGTATTTAATGGTGTATTAAACATGATATTTAGCGTAAAACTTCTTCTTTTCATAATTAGTGAATCGATTAAAAATAATGTAAAACTTTTTGTTTTGTTGAATAAATTATATATTCGTTGTGAGAATAAATGAAAAGCGTTTTCTTTCATTTTTTCCTCATTTTTCTTTTTTAATTGGTTTTTAATTACTTTTACTTTTATATATTTATTTGTTAATTTCAGTCCAATATACCTGTCGTGTTATTATCATGATTTATATTTAAATACAGTGTCATTTGCTATGATTTATTAAGTGGAAAATATCACAATAATTCGGATGTACTGTATTTCACATAAATATGCCCTACATTTTAACATAGATAAATTATTAATTATAAAATCAATGACAATTATTTTCATTTGTTACTTATTTAATGGGGTATAAACTATACTAAATTAAACTGAATTAAGTGGATAGTAGTTATAACGATTACATGTGAATCGCAAGAAAATTGTGGTCAACTGAACAGCAATCAGTTATATTACACTACAATAGTGTAATAAACTATACTGGGTGTTTTTGTAACAACAGATTACATGATATTGAAACGTGTGCTCACGATGTCGTCAGTGGACAGATAGTGGTATTCTGTTAGCCGTATAGTATATGCCAATTGGAAACAAACAATGTATGCAAGTATCAGGGGATCCAAATAATATCAAAACATTTTAATTTTAATATAAGTTTTCATTTTTTATTAGTTTTGTAATTATTTTAATTTCAAATTTAAATATTTGTTAATAAAACCAACTTTTCTTTAACATTGTTAATGCAATTTGTGTATAAATTTGTAATATATGTAAACCAGTAATTATTAATTAGTATGAATCTAAAATAACTTTGTGAAAATCACTCATTCATGCATTTAAAACCAACCAATAATGTTAGATATCATGCAATACCTGTGCTATTCCTATGTTATACCTGTGTTATAGCTGTGCCCATTGAACTCGTTTATTATCACTTTAAACACATAAATAGACAATAGTTTTGTCATAAAATCAGTTTTAAAGTGTCGTTAACAGCGATTTTATTATTGACTTTCATTTAAACTTTATTATTGTGTTTCATATTCTCCGACAAACGTTTTATTAAAATTATAAAATTAATACAAAATTAAAAAATAAAATACAACACAAAATGCAAAACATATAAATTATAAATTGTATGTATTTAATAAAATTATATAAAAATTAACTTTATTGGTATAAATAAATATAATGTGTATTAAATGTGCTTTTGTAAAAAAAAGTTTTATAAAATTTACATAAAATATTGTGTCGTTTTTTCTTGATTTACAATAAAATGGTCATTTTGTGTATCAAATGAAGCGATGAATTGTTGATAATATACTTTTGTTGAATAAATGGTTTGATTTTATAACAAATGTTGATAAATGCGATCAAATGGTGACTTCAATGGTGCGGACCTATTGTCTCATCCAAACTGAAATTCAAAAGATATTTATTTTAATCATTGGTTTAATACTTATGTAAAAAGAGGTGTCTTTTCAATAGAGATATACCTTAAGAGCTCTTTAATCAGAAAGTGTTATAAAACACAATAATCTTAACATTAATAGCAAATAAACAGTCATTGAACTAAATATTAGCTCCGATTGAATGAGCATTTAATTATTTATCAATTGACTTCAATTATTCAATACAATTGTGTTATAAAAGGCTTTCATCGGTTTGTGAAAACTAAAATAGGCATCGATTGAACTTACAATCTATTGAGACCTCTAATTATAACGATTACTTTTTTTTATAACAAGTGAAATGGTTTTTAAAATCACATAATTGTGGGAATATACACCACGTGATTAATTCAATTAATTAACATTTGTTCAAAAGAAACAAATTACTGTCGATTATAACTGTCATAAGCATTCAGTTATCAAATAAAACATTAAATTATTGAATACCCGGTCGGCCGTAGATTACTTGGGAAGCACTGCTTCTATAGTCTCTGGTGTCTCTGTTTTTGAATCGGGGGTCGATATAACCCGAGCCCTTCGTCTTCACAATAATGCCGTCCTCGAGGAAGCCGTCGTCATCGTTGCCCATAATCTTATAGCTGGCCCTCACCGGCACATCCATGTAATCGCCCTTTATTTTATACATCCCTATATTCAATAATATATAGTCTTCACAATAATGCCGTCCTCGAGGAAGCCGTCGTCATCGTTGCCCATAATCTTATAGCTGGCCCTCACCGGCACATCCATGTAATCGCCCTTTATTTTATACATCCCTATATTCAATAATATATATGTCAATCAATTATTTTTGTTCAAATTTTTATCCAATTTATTACATGATAAAAATTGCATTTATTTTCTAATCCGGAAGGAAATAAGAGTAAATATTTATTTAAATTGGTTTGGATTTAATATTTTTAAAATATATTTTGCTGGAAATTACAAATATTATGTATTATAAGCAGTTTTAGTGTTACTTCTTGAAATATAGATCATTAATTTGTTTTGCAATAAAAATACAAAAATTAAGACATATTTTTGGAAAAATATAGCAAAGAAAAGAAGAGAAACGAAATTAGTTTATCAAACGATGAAATTTTTGGGCAATTTATTGAATAAATTATGTGTTGATTAACATATGGTAAGTTATGTTCTTTCAAAGGATTGTGTGCCTGAATATAAAACTACTGATTAATAAACGTTAAAAATCAAAGCAAATCACGAAATATGTCTCAACACAACCATTAATGCAATGATTTACTAATTTAAGAAATTCAAGCATTAATTAACTTATAATAATAATAATAATAATCTTTTTGTTATATAAAAGCTCTACATTTAGCGCTCGTATTAATTGCTTTTATGTAATGTTTTAATTATAAAAGCAGTTTTGATGTTACGATCGACTCCTAATACATATAACGGTATAATCTTTAATAATAACATATAAATTATATCTTGTGATTAAATGCCCGGTCATTGAAAAGCTATAAAAATTCTTTATAGTAAATATCATGTAATAAAAATTAAAAACCAATTTAAATCATTTTTTGTAAATTAATTGAAATATTTATAGAAAATAACCGGAAGATTACCCTGTAAGATTTTAACTTATTCACTATAAGCATTAACTTAACTATACTTCAGTTGTTTACACTAAATTTTTAGCATAAGTAAAACAATTTTATAAAATAAATACTAATTAAAATTAAATTGTATTTAAATGATATAAATATTTTAAATTTTAATATTAGGTTAAATCAAAAAATTATATTTTAATAATATAGAACAGTATTTGTAACATAGTATTTATCTTAACTTAAAGTTATAAAAACTTTAATAAAATTAAAATAAAGTATTAAATTGTAATACAAAATAAATAAATCAAATAATACCTGGTCTTTGGGAGAGACACAACTGAATGAGTAAAACAAAAGACAATATTAATGATAAGAATTTCATTTTAAGATATAATTTGATGAAGTATTAAAACTTTTTAAAAAAATTATGATGAAATAACTTTATTAAAAGTTAATAAAAACACGAATTAACAAAATATTAATTAAATATTTGCTTTGAAATCACAAAAACAAGTTGTGATGAGGAGAGAGAGAAAGAGCAAAAAGTCGGATACGAAAAATGTATTTTCAAAATTGAATGAAAGTGAAAACTGCATCAAAAAATCATTTCCTTTATATAGTGTTGTGTTTTGAGTGCACTTTTCACTCTCCAGACACACAACACAAACACAACAAAACAACACAAACCAAACCAAAAAACACTGAGCAGTGGCTATAAAATTAAGAACATGTCATATAATACTAGTTATGAAATACTGGCGACGAGTGTATCGTAAGTATAGTCTTAGAGAAAATTATCTAACAATTCGGGTCATAAGGAATTGCCTGAGTTTTTGGGAGGCATTGCTTTGGCGCTCAGGTGTGGGTATTCGTGATCGTCAGGAGAAGAGAAGAGAGAGAGAGAGAGAGAGAGAGAGAGAGAGAGATCCTCCCTCTTCTACCAGTCTTTGAGGTGCAAAAAATGTTTGCTGAAGGAGAGAGAGAGAGAGAGAGAGAGAGAGAGAGAAACCTAAACCACACATCTCTTTATATCTGTTATCGTAAATGTTTTAAAAAGTATTAAACAATAATAAACACTTAACACAATAAACCTATGCCTAAAGTCCTAGAATCCAAGAGCCTCAACATTTATTACCAAGTTTTTTTTAAATATAATCACACAATTGTAATTTCAATTATAAGTATTAAAAGTTTTGCTTAAAAGCTGCGATTCTTATATTGTTTTGTATAATAGTCTCCGAAATGGCATCAACTGATGAGAAGAGGCATTAATTGTGTAATTTATTTATTTATTGAATGAAGTAATTAATCAATTGAAATGCAATTGTTTTTTATGGCAAATTCTTTCCTAAATTTTTATTGCATTTTCTCATAAACTCGAGAATTTTTGTCTAATTTTAGTTTTTTATATGTGTTTTAAAATATAACATATAATTGACTTCTTGTATATTCACTTCTCTGTCAGTTCTTTCGTCTATTATTTTCACTCAAAACACACTATTTATAGACATTTGAATTGCGAATATTAAAGACAAGTGGGAATAAAACAAAAGTAAAATAAACTTTTCGTATAAATAATAACAATATAATAGAAAATATATATAAAGAGGGAGAGAAAGAGAAACAGACAGAAAATCACTTTTCTATTGACTAATTAAGAGTGAATAGTATGAGAACGAGAGTCAAAAATATAGTTCAAACCATTGGCCTATTTATAAATGTTTTGGTATTTCTTTATTATCTATTTTTTGCCTCATATTATAAATAATGAAAAGTAGAAAAAACTTGTGATTTTAGTGGCAATGATTTGCGCCATTGATTGTCAGCTCTCTCTCTCTCTCTCTCTCTCTCTCTCGCCTTAACTTCTTAAGGGTAATCATCCCTAAGAAACAGTGTATATACAGTATATCTGTATTGTCTGTATATAACTGTATGATACTATTGGCACCAATTATTGTCACTTATTTTGTTTCATTATAACAATACAATTACTATAAGATAGCGACGACTGACTGTTGACTGTCAACAACTCTTTCGACCAAAAAAACAAAACTCTTTGAAACTTAAATATCAAATCTTATCGAAAGAATCAATTTGTGATTTTTTGCGAGATATTTGTATATAATTTGATAATTAAGTGATTTATTTTAATTTCTGTCATTTGATATGAGGTTACGATGATATCGAAGATGAGTTCATTCATACTTTTAAATTTTAAAATATTTAAAAATCTTGATAATTTTAATATACAAATATAACAAAATTTCCCATACATTTGACCAGAATTTGCGGATAATCTACAGAAGTGCTGAAGAAATGCTAAAAACAGTAACAGATATTAGCATATCATCTATTTTTAAGCTTTCCATCAGAATGTTATAAC